TGTCCCGGTGCGCTCGGAGCCCCCCAGGCTGGTCCACGGGCGGGACAAGCGCCCACGGGAGCCGCAGGCACCGCCCTGGGGCTCTGAGCACACAGCACCTTCCTGGCTTGAATCCCGCGTGTCCCTGATGTGCTCTGTCCTGCTAATGCTTCCTGACATCCTTGTGTTTCCACACCTCTGCATCCCAGAGTTTTTTTAAAAAGTCCTACTCCTCCCTGTTCTTCAGTAGTTGCTGTCTCATATTAAATTTAAATTTTGAATCCCTAATGCTAGTGGAAATCTCACCCCTTTTTTTGCCTGCTGCTACCAGTTCTGTCCATTCTTCCTCAGGCCTCTTCATTTCTCCAGGAAGAAACAAAACACAGATATTTTTGTTTTGCTTTGGTTTTATTCCATCATTTATTTATTCAATTTGTCCCTCAATTTCCATTCCCGTGCTTGGGACACACACACACTTTCTCTGCACAGGCACACATGTATCTGTATGTCCAGTAAGGCACAGCCATTCACATCCACTGTGCTGAGAGAGGGAACAGGGGCAGCCAGCGATTGCAGCCTGCCTGGAATACAAGCTACAGCAAGCAGATTAAAATGGATTCAAAGCCAACAGGGCTCCACAGCATGGCTCAAAAGCGTGTGCAGGTCGTGTCTGCCAACCAGCCCATGATAATTGAGGTCCCAGCAAGTGTGATCTCAGTCCACGTCACAGTATGGACATTTTCTGTGTGGCCAACACAGCTTCAGGCACTGCTGTCAGGAAACTGGTCAAGCGAGGGTCTGACATCCACCTTCCCCCAAATATCCTTCAGATTTAAACTGTAGTGACTGCCAGCCCGACTTTCAGTAGCCCAAGAGTGAATACAAATCTAGTACAGGGCCTAAGTACTTTGTGGGGACTGGCTGCCTGAGCTTCACCAATTCAGCCAGGCAATGCCAATGGAAATTCAGCCAGCTAAGACTTCCTCTTTCACCTGCACACAATGAATTGGCTGTTTCCAGGAAGCTGGGATGCTTTCTGTAATGACTGGCTCTTGGTGGCCACACACCAGAAGTTTCAAAACAGACTGGGCAGGGTTTGGAAGTGAGAAAGACTGAGGGACGAGCAGCCCTTCTAAATCTGGACTGGAGCCCAGAGCCAGATAAGAGAACATGCCCCATTGACCTACTCAGCATGTCTGTTCTTCGCATACAATCTGCTGCTTGTCATTTTCCACCACACTAAAAGCACCCCAAAGCTGAAACACACAGGACCTACCAGCCTACCACAGGTGGCTGTTTCACAGATCAGCCCACTTCAAATGGATTTTATTTTTATGTTTAATATTTATATATTTTTATGATCAATGTTCTAGGAGTTTTCCTTGTATCAGGGTTCACATTGTCTGCCATACAACACATATGGAGAAACAGTTATGTTTCCTATTGTTAAAACATTATTTACTGAAGTTTTAAAACCCAAAGAAGCTACTGAAAAGGCACTGTACATGTATGTACGTATGTAACTGATGAACTTCATCTAAGACCACTGCAGGGGAGAAGAAAAAGACATTTTAGAGCAGGATGAAGAAGCAGAAGGACTGTGAGTGGTGGTGGCTGTTTCCTCCAGGACAGTGGGTATCAGGTCCCCAAATACCACCAAGGAACTCCAGCCAACACCTGAGTTTTGAACCCTGAAGAGATTGCAAACAGCCTCCTGTCCCAGCTGTCCCAAAACATGATGGTGCCAAGCAAAGAGCCAGAGAGTGGCCACTCGGCTCTGTGATGAGTCTGGACCTCAGGGGATTTCTGCATTCTGCTCCTCTCCTGCCACTCAAGGTTTTCCAGTACCTTCCATCTCGATTGGGTTGGATGGCTCCTATGCACATATTAAGTCTCCTCTGCCCTGACTGGGTGTGTCCTTTTGAGAGGGGAAAATAAGTAAGGAAATAATGAAAAATAATCATGGGTGTAAGCAAAGACAGTGCTGGGGAGTGCTGGGGGTGCTTTGGTGGTTTCTGTGCTGGGAGGCAAAGGTGAGCTGCAGGATGACCTCTGGAATCCTTCCTTCAGCTGCTCCTGGCCAAACCAAGGCAGCATTTGAAGAGGAGGTGGCTGAGATGGGACAAGACACATCCTCAGGCATCTGTGGCTATGTCATCAGTGGTTACAGAACACAAAGGAGGAGCATGGAACAAGGCCTGCTTCAGCCAGGGGAAATCTTCTTTTATTTCAGTGGCAAAGGGCCATGCTTGCATGCTTTCAGAGCTGGTCATGAAACTGGGGTGCCCTGGGTTTGCTGGCAAAGGTAACAAGCTAAAAACATAGGGAATATATATATATATATATATATATATATATATATGTACACATGTATACATACATGTGCACACATATAAATATTTATATGTAAGGAGTCATACTGATATAGTGTATACATGGCTACTGCTGGGGAAATGTGCATTTCACTGCAAGTACTTTCAGATTGCTTACAAAACAGCAATGCAGGAGGTGCCTGGTGAGCAGAGCCTCTCCATTATACTGAATGCACAATCAGCTTTGCTTCTTTCCCATCCTCTCTGTAACACCACCCAGGAGAGCTGCTTGTGTTGAGTACCCTGCTTCACAGTCTCTGCACGCCTGAGATCTGAGGCTTTGACATGTGGGGAGCAGCAAAATCATTGTTGTGTTCTGTCACAGTTGCCATTTTTGCTAACAGCAGAACTCTCAGGTGCCTCAGGAGCCACCACCACGCTGGCCCATCTTACCTGTGTGTCACAGCTATGCTGTGCCCTGGTCCTGTGTGGCAGGCACTGAAGGCTCACTGGCAGTCCCTAATCCCACTGCATCCTGCAGTGGCTCAGGTGCCAGCGCTGTTTCCTCAGTGTCTGACGTTCTCTGTGTGTCTGTGCTCTCACTGCTCTCCTTTGTTTCAGTTTCCTCCTTCTCCTTGTCTCCCTTTCCTTGCTCACAGGCAGTGCTTTGCTGTTCTTCTCCCTGGGGACTGTCACACATCTCATTGTTTCCAGAGGGAGGCTGAGGAGAGTTCTCTCCTGGGCCATCATGACACACTTCCTCCTCCTTTGTATTCCCTGTGTTATTCTTGCAAGGAGTAATTTCCTCTGCCTGCTTTTCCCCCTTTCCCCCATCTTCTGATCTACTGGATCCTCTCCTTGATGGGGGCTTCTCACCAGACTCTGCCTGTTTCTTCTGCTCTTTGCTCCCTTTTTCTTCCTCCTCTGATCTGCTGGATCCCGTCCTTGAGGCTGGCTTCTCATGAGACCCTGCCCGTTCCTTTTGCTCTTTGCTCCCCGTTTCCACCTCCTCTGTCTTGCCATTGGGCCCAAAGACCTCATCTTCCCTGGCACCATTTTCTGGAGAGGACAAGCTGACCCCCAGATCTTCCCCATCTCCGTACTCGGACAGAGACCTCCGGAACCTTCGGGAGGGGGGCCGGCGCTTTATGGATCCTCGCGTCCGCACCTGGGGGCAGGGAAAGCAGACAGCAAAGCAGTCAGGAGAGGGGAATGGAAAGCAGGAATGCACAAATGAGGAAAATGCCACTGGATGTACCAGTTGCAATGAGACAGATGAGGCAGGTTGAGGAAGGAGTCTGTACTCCACCTGGTGATGGTCAATGCAGGCTACAGCTCCTCACTTAAGTGCTGAGCGCTCTGGTGACACCTGAGAAACTGAGAAACTCTGTGTGGCTCCCCAAACTGAGCCTCAGCCACCTCAGCCATTTGCTGGCACCTGCTCACAGCAGCCCCTGGCACCAGCCACCCCATTATTGCCCAGCTGAGGTGACTGGGTCCTGCCCCTCCATCCCACACACTGGCAGAGAGGAGCCTCCACACAGCTACACTGAAACGCTCTTTGGAACCTGCTGCACAAATCTTCTCTCTTGGCCACACTCTTACAGCAGGACTGAGGGCTCAGCCTCCTCTTCCTCCTCATCCCCAAGCAATAAGCAAGCCTTGTGGAATGGAGAAATCCAGCACGTATCCCCTACCTTGTTGTAGAACTGCAGCTGCGTGCTCTCTGGGGGCTGATCAAAGCTGACTGGTGTCTCGCTGGGCTGGCACTGGGTCCCTGGGCTGGTGGGCGTTGTGGGAGGTGTGCTGAACGGAGAAACCAGGACTTTCACCCCAGGGCTTTTGGGAGACACTCCCGGCAGCAGAGCAGCTGGAGCAAAAGCCAGATTGGCCTGCAATGACAAACGCCCATCAGGGGCATGCGGGGCAGCAGC